CCTTTATACCAACCAGTTTGCGGCCGTATAAAATAGATGCAAACACTCATAGTACATATAGGCGCAAACTCAATGATAGCTTCTTGAATTTTAATAGCAGGTCGCGCATAAAGCTCATAAATCTTGGCGTTTCTGCTGGGCGGTCGCTCCTGACCCGGCGTGTGCGCGCGTAGAGGGCATACATAGCATAATAGCCGCAAAGAGCGAGCAAGAGAGAGAATCTCCGCCCTTATAGCGGCTCTCTGGGCTAGCTCACTCGCTCCTTCGGTCGCTCATCAGTATATTTAAGCTATAGGTACGTACGTATACGTATATACCTTGGTGTACGGTGTGTGTATATATATAGTACGGCTATAGGCACGTACCTATCGCTCGTATAGTCGTACACGAGCCGCTACAAAAGAACACGTTCGAGAAAAGATAAGAAAAGAGTGGGTCTATCTAAAGCAGCACAAATGAAGAAAACCCCCCGAGTCCAACGGGCCGCCAGCGCGCGCGCGCTCGCAAGTATTAAGTGGATGAGCTAAGAGTGAAAGGGGTAGAAAAGAAGGATTGCAAAAGTCGACGCGCGTTCTATCTCGTGCGTCAGTAGGATGTTAGCGAGGAAGCACGAGAAAGAGAGAAAAGGCATGTTATATACCTATATAGTCGGCGCTAGGAATTCTACTACTGCTTCTGCTGCTGCTGCTGCTGCTGCTGCTGCTTCACTCGCTGGTACTCAGGTGAGGCTTAACAAGCGATCCTATCGTATCAGATGAATGCCAGTGTGCCCGTGCGCTCGCGAGAGGGCTATACAACGTCGAGCAGGCACTGCTAGCTAGCCCAAACGATTGTATCACATCCACACACACACACACACACACACACACACACACACACACACATTCCCCCGTTACGTACCGGTTGGTATATACTCACACAGACAGAATTGCGAATGAATGGAGCCTCGCCCGTGTATACGTGTGTACTCCTGCTAGAAGGAGACGTTATATATACATTATAGCTTACCCATGAGCTCAGAGCTCCTGCAATTATACCCAAGTCAAGCATATACCCAGTGTATTATATGCATTCTAGCTGTACACATATCTACGGCGCGCATACTAAAGCTCGCACTAGAAGCCACAATGTGGCTATCGGCCACCGACTGCTTGGCGATATATCGAGTCTCTATGCTGCATAAAGTGTTTCGCGATATTATATATTCAAACCTGTCGCAGCTATAATTTGTTTTTTTCTCTCTCTCTCTCCCTGTCTCTCCCTTCCTTTCTCACACTCTTACACTCGACGCGTGCGCAATTTCATATATGAAATTTCATTAAAGAGAGCTCGAAGCTCCGACGACACCATCGCATGTACGACGACGGGGTTGAGCGCGCGCGCTGCGCAAGCATCTCCTGAGAGTAATTACTCGACTCGAGTGCGACTTTTTCAATACCACTCGAATAGAAAAAGATTTTAATTCATAGTCCGAGCTTGCAAGCTCTTGGCCACGCTCTCATGATCTCACTCGCATCACCCAACTTAATTCGTTCGAAATATCGTACTCTTGGCACACAATACGAAATAATTTCATTGCACAATGTTGCCAAGCGTCTCTCTCTTTCTCTCTTTCTCTCGACTGACATTACCTCGGTTTCAATCATGCTATTGGATAAAATTTCACGTTCTTATTTTGAGAGTGTAAAAATATATTAAATACATTTTCCATTCGGGTGCAGTACAGACTTTCATTACTCCTTGAAGTATTCATTTAAATAAGTTCAAGTGTGATTTTTTGTACAAGCTCACTTTGTAATACATTTTTTTTTTAAATGTCAAAAATAATCATTTAATGAAGTTCACTCTAGATTGTTAAAATTTTATGTAGATGATAAAATGTTTGAGTTTTTGTTTGACTTGGTGATATTGTAAAAAGATGTTTCGTGACATGAACTTGGGCATAAAAAAGAAATCTGGCAAGAAATCATTGCCAGAGTGAGATTTTGAAGCGATCGTCATATTTGGTTATTACATAACAAGTCAGAGAAAACTAGGGAGATATGATAATACATAAAAGAGCATGAAGTCCATGAAATAGAAGGAAATTCGATTGATTCAGTCGAGGAAACTGCCAGCGAGTGAGAAAGAGAGTTTGTGCGCGAAATGCCCTTGCTCGGGGTTTCTCAGAAAATCGAATTCAATTTACGCGAAAGCTACACAGCCGTTGCCGCTACTTTAGCCAGCCGAAGATGAAAGTATACAGACTTTCATAGCAGAAGATGAAGATAGAGCGAAAGTAAGAAAGATTGGAGCAAAAAGGAGAAGAAGAAGGAAGGGAAAAAAAACGTCAGGATATTGAGCAACACCAGTCTTTGGCATGAACGAGAGGGTTAGGGAAATTTTTCATCGGCTCGCTGCAGAGCACAGAGGAGCAGGCGGCCGTGTTTCCTCCTTAATACAGGACTTAACCGTTGAACGGAGATCTAGAGCTTCCAAGATATACTCGCAGTCTGATGCTGCTGCTGCTGCTGCTGCTGTTGCTGCTTTACTAAACGGCCAAAGCTGTACAGCTTGCGCCGTCTTTACTATGTCACGGAGGCTTCAGACTTTTCCCTATCCAAAGAAGCAATTTAACATGATTAAGCCTTGTAATTTTTTAAAACTTATCCTCGAGTTAGATTTAGAAGACGGAATTTCGTTCACGCTCGCACGCTCACGGCCATTCATCAAACGTTCGGTTATGATATTTCATCTTCGCGTGTCACGCATGTATTGATACTCTCAGGTTTACGCTTGCGAGTTTATAGCTCTGGAAGCAACAAAGCCGTTGAACGCGTTCCGTTCGATCTAGCTCGTAAACGCATAGATCACTATAAATAATAAGCGCGTACGTAACTGCAGTTAATTACAAACGCACATGGCTTTGGAATTCGGGGCTTGGAAGGCATGTAGTCAGTAGTAGGTAGTAGTGGTAGTATACGCAAGAGCTGCCGCGCGGCGCAACGGCATAGTTCGGAGCTCGGCAAAGTGCCGGCTAAGTTCCACCGAGACAATGCAAACGTGAGAATGGCACGACGACAGAACGCGAGCGCGTACTTGACTTATATATACATTCATGGCAAGCAGCGCGCAAGCAGTGCGCAGCACTACTGGGCTTGTTGAGCTATAAACTCCGCTATGTGCTATACACGGTGTGTGATTTAGCATTGATGTTTGTGAGGTTGCACGTCGAAGCCCGTTATCCTTCGCTCAAAGCTCGGGAGGAAGGCGTTTTTGGCTCAGCAGGAAAGAGTGGCAAATTTATATCGCTTTATTTTGACTCTTTCAAACTTTCAACGAGCCGTGGTGACGTATCCTCGCGAGTTTTTACCAAGTTAATTGCCCATAGCGTCGATGGAAAATGTCTCGCTTATACTCACGTACGCACTCAGGACTTGTTGTGATCATGATTGGTGTATAAAAGGTACGGCGTTTGATTGTTTGCTTCAAAAAAAGGAGGGGGACTGATTTCAGATCACAAGTTTTGGGTCAAACGGATCACGATGAGATGAATTATTACCCAGCTTTTGTTGATGCACAGATGCTTCAGGTCAGAGCATCGTTTGGTACACGACGAAGTGTCATCCTGCTTCAACTGTTTAACAAAAGATAGGAACACAGAGCCCGCTTTGTTTTGTTGTCCAAAGTTCACGTAAGGGGGTGATTTTTCTAAAACTTTGCTTTGAAGGTAATAAAACAGTTGATAACTAAAGACAGAACGAAATCAAATACGTTGTATTTTTTCCTTAATCCCAAATTGCCGCGAGCTGAATTAGAAATGTATTGTTAAAACAGATCAAAAAGGCAGCCAGAGGCTATTTCTAAAGCTCTCCCGAAATAATGTCTAATGGCGACCATGGTGGGATACTTGATGCCGTAAGATCGCTAGTTGTAGGGATTACTCTGTCCTCGTAAAAAAATACACACACACGCACATACACACATATTTATATTTATCTAAGCTCTCGTTGATACCGGGCTGAAACGTAGCAGGGACTTGATTGTAGCTCACGTGTATACACAAACTTTCGGGAAACTTTTCTGGGTCGCGTTTATTTTGCCGCTGCGGTTTAGTCCAATACGTGTAAGCACATATGCCGAGCTTGGTATCGGTAAATACGTACCTATGCGACTGACCACGATGATCACTACGAAAACATTTCTCTAAATTAAACTGCGCCGTTTAATCGATGTTTGTAACTATTAATGACGAATGCCTTTCAAAGTTCGGAGTTCAATTTTTTTTTTTTTTTGAAACAGAGAACATAACGTTGCGCTGCCAGAGAACAACAATGTATTACTCGAGATTAATTTCCCAATGGACATTCACTTATTCTCTCTCTCTCTCTCTCTCTCTCACTCCCTCTTGCATATAACTTCCCATATCTCGACTATTATCAATTTGTACGGATGTTATCTTTGAAGCAATTAGCATACATAATGAACTTGTTAGTTAATCGAACCTTTGACATCGCATTCCCGATAAGACATATCTCAGTGCGGAGTGATTAATTTATAAGCATGTCATGCATATTCGCGACGTATTATGCTATAAATATAAACACTTGCTCGACATTGTGATTCTAGCTATAATTACAATTAAAAATAAATTCGAAGCCTGATAAAAGTTCTGCACGCATGAATATTCAATAAAGTGGAGCAAACGTAAATTGGACGGTAACACGATAAAACTTCAAATCTGAGAGTAAGGAGTAAAGTCTTTGTAACTGCTCGATCCTTAAAGATTACACAAGTTTTCGAGGCAAATCAGCCGACTTCTCGACTAGCGGAGCTCGACGCTGACTTATCATCTTGGGTTTGTTGTCTCTCGTTCGAGAAGCTCTTTCTGATTGAACTAATGCACGTAGTAACGACCGGCATTACTTCACGTAGTCGCTCTTATTTCGTCCTAGTTATCTTGATCAAACACTTTTACTTTGAAAAACACAATGCAACTTCAATGCTTTTTTTTCATGCAACACTGTAAAAAATTATAGCGCACATTTTTATTCATTATAAGAGTTCAGTATTCAACAACACCACGCGTTCAAAGAAAGATTGTTATCCTGTTTGATGAAATCTACGGCTCGTTCAGCTATCATCGTTATAGCGGCTGATGGATTACCGGATACCACCTGAAAAATTGTATAATTTTTCCAATAAACAGTGAAAGATTTATGTAGAGAGGCACGTCCTGCATCAAGTTAACATAAATACCCTCGGCATAACTGAAGCATCGACGACTCTGACGCGCTCGATACCGTGAACGCGAAGTCGCGGATCAACGACTGACATTTCGTCCGTAGCGGGTCCCATCTTGCACGATCCAGCTTGATGGTTTTCCGTCCGAGTTTCTTGACGAATTGCGCAGGTCCAATATTCATCGCTCTTAAATGGAAAATCGGCGCATTCGGCTAGGGGGGAGCTCGTCAGAGTTAAGCCAAGTTTCTTCATCGTTGGAGAATCAGCCAGAGAAAGAGCTATACGGATTCCGGAGATTAGAACTTTCACGTCTCGTAGATTTTCCAAATCATTACTGTGTATGAAAGGATGTTCCAGAGGATCCTTACTCAATAAAGATATTTCACCTGGATTAAGAATTTCAAGCAATCAACTCAATAATCTTTAATGCCCCGCGCACATATCGCGTGTAGCTATCTTAAGTCCTACCAATTTATCATGCAGCGCTCGCATAATGCACTTTCTCGAAATATACTTATTTATCAAACTTCCTCGCACTCGATAACGCAAAAGCGCTTATGAGTAGATATTTACCTCGGCTTTCGGTATGCAAATTCACTGGAATGAATTGCACGTGTCGCATGGAAGATGAGTCGTTTAACCCACAATTAGCTTCAAAGCCAGCAAAAAACATTTGTATATCCGGATCATCTGGACTGGTGTATTCAGACGCCAATATTCCTGTCACTTGTGCCAGACCAGTAGAAGATAGCGGTCCAGTTTGATTGGCCAGATATTGATCTGTCGGGGAGAAACTATTGCCCGAACTGTTCGGGTATTGAATTGTAAAATCTAAACCATAAGACACGTGATTGTGCAAATTCCTTCCAACTCCAGGAAGATCATGAACGACTGGAATATCGAGCTTTTTGAGGTCAGTTTTCGATCCAATTCCCGATAATAATAAAAGTTGCGGTGAATTTACAGTGCCACCAGAAATTATGATCTCTCGTCTAAATTGAACCTCCTGTATTATGTCGTTCTAAAAAAAATTCTTGTTTAGTTTTGCGTAAGTACGCGATTCAAAAAATTTTACTTGTTTGCTAAAGTTTTGCGAAAAAACTATCTTTGCTAAAGAAGCAGAGATATACTTGATTTATTTTTCTTTCATAAATATGAATGTAAAAATACTCGTCTTTATGCTAACGAAGATTTTTGGTAAAACCATCAAAATAAGTCAAGTGCCAATTCAGTTGCTTTTTTTATTACAACCAGCTTATTCAATATAAAATTCAAAAGTGTTTTACCTGAATAAACTGAACGCCCACGGCCTTTTTATCTTGGAATATTATTTTTGTGGCTAAGGCATTTAAAGCAATGTGTAAGTTATTTTTATTTCTATTTGGGCTGAGATACGATCTGGCGCTGCTGATGCGCACGCCGTGATCAGTTATTGTTTGCGCTATTGTAAATCCAGTTATTTTATCGCCTACCATATCTTCAGTTACTCCATAGCCTATTTCTTTGCCAGCTTCTAAGATGTCCCTCGCGAATTGAGGTTGCCAAGGAAATCTGAAAAGATGATCTGTGCAGCAGCAAATCGAGACAAGATAAGTTTAATTTTAGTACATAATTTTTGCGCACCTTTCGACTGGTAATGGCCCACCGGTACTATGGTGTTGTTTTCCCACTCGTTTGATTTCACGATTATCTTCAGACTTTAAAAAATAAGGCTTCACCTAAAATAATACATTTTTCTTATTCCACATTTTATTTAAAAAACATCTTGCAACGATTATATAATTGGAACACATTATAGATGGTACATTTTCAAAAAAAACTTACCTCTTCCCAAGACCATCCAGTGCATCCCATTGCCACCCATTTTTCATAGTCTTTTGAGTTTCCCCGATGGTAAGCCATACCGTGATGAACAGTCGTTCCCCCGAGGTTCTTCCCGCGAGGCCACAAACAGATACCTTTATTCCGCAAGCAAGCATACGTTTCGTTTCTTGTTTTATATCTCCAGTCTAGCTCGCTGCCTACATAAGTAATGACGATATCATTTCGAATTGAATAAAGCTTTTAGCGAATGAGAATTTGCTAAAATTAAAGAAAACTTTCCTCACCTAAATATTGAGCATAATTACTGGGTATCTGGGCTGCATTCGGCTCGTCGGGTCCAGCTTCCAGTAATAATATTTTTAGATTTCTTATTTCACTCAACCTTCCGGCCACCACTGCCCCGGCATTACCACCTAAATAAGGTTTTTTCGATTACATAATTGTATTTATCGATTTTATAATTGTATTTCGATTAAATAATTGTATTTTGAATCTTTAATTTACTTAAAAGATTCAAATAGACGAACCTCCGACAACAATAAAATCGTAAACATCTAGCACTTTTTTCACTGGTGTTATGCGTTTATTTGAGCCAGTTACTCGCGTATAGTTCTGTACTATAGTGTTCATCAGTGTCAAGTACAAGGCGCAATGTGATAATAAATTTTCACAGCGTTGATTGACTTCTGGTCCATTAAGAAATGGATCGCTACATTCTTTCGACGAATATTCGCTAAAATTTACCTATAATATAAAAATTAAAACAACAATGTTGACTAAGTTTAACTATAAAAATGTATTTCGATTTGAAACTTGTACAATGTACCATCATATGAAATAATGCACATCAGCAACACGCAAGAACAAAAAGTATGCGCTCTTATATTTTATGCTTTTACAAAGCTTCGAGGAAAATACTAAACGAACATATTGCTATCGCTAAAACTTAAACCGGAAACAAGTACGTACGAATGTTTTCGTAAATAAGTTCTCGTGGTAACTTTTTTGATAAATGAACACATGAAATACATTATTTCCTTTTATCAGTTACCTGGCTAATTGGTAATAAAAATGACAATGACACACGTAACAATGAAAGTAGGATTGTAAAGTAATCTAGACTAGATAATAGTTTTTGAAATAACAATTACAAGCAACAAATAACAACGTTTAAAAATGACGCACAATCAGTTTCTCGTTTTGACTATTTAAACAGATTAAAGTTCACTCGCAGTGTAGTTTTGCTCTTGACACACTTTTTATCGTCAACATGAAACGGAAATTATCGGCTTTATCTCCAAATGTTTTGATTCTTGTCAAGATATTTTAAACCCCAGTGAAGTAAATCCAATGAGTGGTCTGCATTGGCATACAAACTGTCAAAGAATTTCACATGAATTATTGAGCATAATAACGGTAAAAGTGTATTTATAATCGTACCATGACGTTGGTTTTGCTCCCCAATCTTTTTTGATAAATGCAGCCGCCCTCTCGCCAATCATCATTGCGGGAGCAGCCGTGTTTCCTGATGTTACCTAAATAAAACAATCGTTGAGTCGATCAAAAACATTTCTGCTGTATTCCTTTAAGAAAAATAAATACTTTGGGCATGATCGAAGTATCTGCGACTCGCAGACCTTTAACTCCATAGACTCTGAGCTCAGGATCCACTACAGACCATGGATCGTTGGGTGGGCCCATTTTGCATGAGCCAGCTTGATGATTTTCTGGACCTGTATCTTGCATGATGGCACAGACCCAGTAGTTATAACTCAAAAATGGAAAGCGTGAGCACGCGGGAATGGGAGCATTTGCTAAGGATATATTGTATTTTGTCATGACGGATGTATTAGCTAGAGAAAGGGCAATCTGAATTCCTTGAATTAATATAGCAATATCCACCGGATTGGTTAAATAGTTTTGCCTTATTATCGGGTACACAAAGGGATTGTTACTGGCCAAGCGCAGAGTGCCTGTGAGTCGAAAAAATAATAAAATTCGTTAGTGCTCGCTCGCTGGATTGGCGCGTGAATCGAAATCGATCCGAATAATAAAAAAAAGACTCTACCTCTGCTGCGAGGCTGTAAAAGCGTCGGAGACATACTGATGCGGCGTCTGCCATTATCCAGTAGAGCCCCGACCTGACCAGTGGTCGCGCAAGCAGCCTGATATCCGCCGAAATATAGCTGTATATCCGGATGATCAGCAGTCGTGTAGGTGGACGGTAGTTTCCCCGTAATTTGAGACATGCCAGTCGAAGCCATCGGTCCTCTTTGGAAGGCAATGTATTCCGTGGCCGCAGCCCAGTTCAGATCGTACGTGTTTGGCTCGTTTATCGTAAAAGATAGAGTATAAGATACGTGATTTTGAAGATTTTCACCGACACCCGGTAAATCCTTGACGACGCTGACGTTCATGGCTCGCAAATGCTCCTTCGGCCCGATGCCCGACAGCAGCAGTAGATGCGGCGAATTTACAGCTCCGCCCGATACCACGATCTCTCTGAGTTTCAACGAAAAAAAAGTAGAGTCGAAAATGCAAAATTACCCGCACAACGTGCAGGATTATAAATCTTATGATTATTACCTCGTGACTCTAGCCGCGTGGAATTTTCCGTTCTGAAAGTACTGCACCCCGACGGCGCGCTGATTCTCGACGATGATCCTCGTCGCGGTCGCGTTGAGGAGCACGTGAAGATTACGCCTCTGTCGCACTGGCTGAAGAAAGGCCGCGGCGCTGCTCACCCGCACGCCTTGGCGATTATTCATCTGAGCGACGGTGAAGCCGACGATGCGGTCGCCGTTGAGGTCCTCGCTTATTGGATAGCCGGCCTCGGCCGCGGCGTAGAGGACGTCGGCGGTGATGGGCGGCTGCCAGGGGAAGCGCTCGACCGTCAGCGGCCCCCCCTTGGCGTGATGCCGCTTGCCGACCCGCGACAGCTCGGTATTGTTTTCCGAGCACATGAAATACGGCAGTACCTGCAGGCGCGCGCATCGATCGACATGTGTGAATTGTGCGTGCCTTTACGAGTGGAAAATTGTCACGCGCATGCCACACGGCTCTAGCTCACAATGCAGCAGCTCGCAAAATTAAACGCTCGAGCGCGTTATATATCGTATATGGGGGGATATGCCATTGGCAGCGGACTTACGTCTTTCCAGGACCAGCCGCGATTTCCCAGCGCGGCCCAGTCGTCGTAGTCTCGCGGCTGACCCCTGATGTACATCATGCCGTTGTGCACGCTCGTACCTCCGAGATTCTTGCCCCTCGGCCAGCTGCAGGAGCCGCCCTGGGCGAGGCAGGCGTGGGTCTCGTTCTGCGTGCGATACTTCCAGTCGATCTGGCTGCCCAGGAACATGGCCACCATACTGGGCACGTCGGCGCCCGGCGGCTCATCCGGACCCGCCTCTATGAGCAGTACTTTCCAATCGGCTATCTCGCTCAGACGAGCCGCCACTACAGCGCCAGCTGAGCCACCTATGTACACACGTAATAAATTTGCATCGATTGATCTTTCTATAAATAGCACTTGTTTGCGAGCACAGCCCCCAAACCAATTAACGCTATCAATTCAAATATTAAAGCTGCACAGCTAGTTGGGTCGTGTAGTTGCTCGCGTCGAGCTGCAATTTGTAATTAGGTTTTTGCCCGACACGCTGCGCTTCCCGAGCTTCCTCCCGACGCCCGATTCGGTTCTTGTAATTGGACTGCAATAAGCGCGGCAGTGTTGCGTCGTTAGAATCGCATACGGGATATTTTGGAAAATCTATCAATATTATTTTGGCCTTTGCGCGAATGTGTGTACACGCGCACACGTACATGCATCGTGTGTACGGCCAGCACAAACGCCCGGGCCATTAGCGGTAGCTCGCAGAAGCGAAAACAGAAGTTTAGTAAGAGGAAAGGGAATAGTTTCGACCGCCGAGGCGGTTTTCGATCTTGCGCTCCGTCTAATGGTAAATAATGCTTGTTAAGGTCATTAGTTCAATAGCCATGAGTAGTTGCAATCGCCTTACGTTTTTGATTAAATGCTCTCTTGCCGACGTAGCCTAGGCGCATATTCGGGCTCGTATTTCACGACATTGAATAATGATACACCGCTTACTTTACGATCATGTTCGCACGCAAAAAATAGATTATTTTTCGATAAAAAAAAAGTACGCAGCGACGGCAGCAGCAGCAAGCACACCACCCCCCTCGTGCCTAGCAAGCTTGAATATTTCCTAATGATCAAAGTCTGGGTAAAGCAGAGTAAATACCTCGAAACATGCATAAAGTACGCGTCTGTAGCTCGACTCTCTCTCTCTCTCTCTCTCTCTCTCTTTCTCTCTTTCTCTCTTGGCTTTGGTAAAAACGAGGGAGAGAATCATTGCTAAATGAGGACTCCGAAGTCCGACTGTGAAGCGCGCGCGCGCGCGGCCTGCTAGCGATAAGGTCTAAATAAATTATGGGAAAGTCAAGAGAAGATTTTCGCTGATTGACGAAGCGGCGCGAGCCTCGGATGGAGGTGGCAGCGGCTATATAGTATATAGAGCCAGCAGCTGGGAGTCTAACAAATAAGTCTTGACGAGCCGTCGCGCAGTTGCACGCGCGTGAATTCGGCCACCTATACAACATGGCTAGAGAGCTCTACGCTCAGTCGGCGCGCAACTTTAACTGTATGTCTATATGTGTATGTGAGCTATATAAACGTAACTGTGTGGGTGTGTGTGTGTGTGTGTGTGTGTGTGTGTGTGTGTGTGTGTGTGTGTGTGTGTGTGTGTGTGAGAGAGCTGGCAGTGGCAGCTTTGTTCGCGTATGTCAGTGTATGCGTGTGCGCACCTACAGATATATATGCACACACTATACGCTTGCGCGAATCACGATTAACACGCACAAGTAAAGTATATAACGTTGGGCGCTGTTGGGTATATATGTACGCCACGGGTTGACGCCTTAAAATCACATGAGTATATTTGAACACGAGAAAAGCGGGTTGAAACGTTAAGGTAGGTTAAATTCGCTCGAGCTGAGACTGCTCGACGAGGAGCGCGCGCCGGTAATATGCGTGTCTATGTCTATGTGCGCTTGTGCATGTACAGCGTACACCTCTACCCTAGCGCAGGTATAACGAGAAAAAGAGAGAGAGAAAGAGAGAGACGAGAGCGACGAAAAAGAACCAAGAAAAATGAAAGAAATTATACATGTGTGTGTATGTGCGTGTATGTGGGTAAATATAAAGAGAGAAAAAAAGCGAGAGGGAGGCTGCGAGTAAGGGAGTGGGTGGCCGTATACGAGAAGTTGCGTTAATTAGTCGTCCAACCAGGTTTTCTCCTACGCGAAACGGTAATTAAAGGGACAAAGATTCAATGGCATTATGTGCTGCGACCCTACTATGTCTTTCCAGCTACGACTACTTTGTACTTTTGTGAAACTTTATATGTAATGCATTTGCTCGCGGTACATAAACATAAGATTATGCCAACTGCATTATGCACTCGCTAAGGTTTAGGAATTTGCAAGCTCGTACATGACCCAGAAATCAATAGACGAAAGGGTGCTATCTCTTTTTCATAAAATATTTTTAGTGTTTCTTCCTTCAAATTTTCGTTTGAGAGGAGGTTCTCATTTAAAGCCACAAAAATGACACTCCCTTCCCGAAATGTTTGAACATGGTAGGGCGATAAATAAAGTACGGTTTTAGGAAAAAACGCGTTTAATGGTTTTAACTGAAGTCGAGCTTTTTGATTTTGACTGACTTTGAATATGAACCTGATGTTTCCTTCGTCGAACTTTTTGTCAAAGTTCGACGAAGGAAACTTCAGGTTCACTTTTGAATTCGAATTTTCGTACCAAATTTTAGGAAATGATTGTTGAAAATATAAGCTAGAAAATTGACTTCTTTGTCGGCTTTAGAACC